TTTTGACACAGAGGTAAGCTTGGCTTAGCTATTTCAAGCGTATTGCTTAGCACTAAGCAGCCTAGCTGAATGCCTAGTCAGCGTTCCCTCGGTGTCCCTCTGTGAACTAATGCAGATCATCGAAATGATGACCTTGGTTCGAAGGGTCGTTCCCCAGGCCGCACTATGCAGCCGCCCGGTATAACGCTTGTTATAACGCCGAGCTCTCCTATGGGAACCAGATAGGCGGGTTTCGATCTCGGACCAAGTGAAGGAAGCCTTGTCCTGGTGGTCGTCACTGGCCAACCTCGGACAGGGGAGCCCCTTGGGCCCGCTCACCGCAGGTATGACTCTGGTAACAGATACCTCCCCCCAGGGTTGGGGAGCGCATCTAATGGGCCAACAAGCCCAGTGATAAAGCCCCCGCATTAGTTTTAGGACTACCATATCAATCGGCTCGAACTGAGAGCAGTGTACGTAGCACTACCACGCTTTCTACCTGTAGTTCGAGACCACAGAGTCCTGCTCTGCACAGGCAACGCAGCAGTGGTCTCCTTCAAGAAGGAGGGGGGGACGCATTCCCCATCGTTGTCAGTCCTAGCGGAGCAAAATCCTCCTTTGGTGCCTGGAATACAATGTGGAGCTAACTGCACACCACCTTCCAGGGGTGAGGAACAGTCTGGCGACGTCCTTTCAGGGCGGCTCCGTCTCCAGAACACGGAGTGGCTGATACCCCAGTGGGTAACCTCCAGGCTGTTTCGACCGTGGGACGGTCCAAGGCTCCCGCCGTACATAACACTCCTGCTGACTCCAGGAGCCTGGGCCAGGATCGCTTTGCTAGCCCCGTGGACCCTTTTAGTTGTGTACGCCTTTCCTCCCTTCCCGCGAGTTCACCGGGCACCGGAGAAAACTTTGACAGGTGCGCACCCGCATATTATCATGGGTTGCACCCAATTGGCCAAGCAAGGTCTAGTTTCCTCTTCTGTTGGAAATGCTAGTCAAAGCGCCAGCAGTGCTTCCGGACTCACCGCACTACCAACAAGCCCAGCAGGTATCACTTACACGCATAGAGGCTCTCAGTAGACCCACACATACAAAAGCCTTATCTGAGTGGGCTGCCAACGTCCTGGCCAGGGCGAACAGGGATTCCACCTACGTGGCCTACATTTCTAGGCTGCAAGCATACACTGATTGGTGTAGCGGAAAAGAGATTGATCCATACCGTCCCTCTGTTTGACGAAGTGGGTTTGTCCTACGCAGCAAGCGTTGGCTACAGATCGGTCTTGTCTCCCACCACTCAGAACGTACGGGAACAAGACTAGCAGATTGTCCTATTATTAGGAGACTATTTACTTCTTTCCAGACGCCAAGACCTCATACAAGGGAGCCGCCCGACTGGGACTCGTCGGCTGTGTTTTCTGCTCTAAGCAGACCGCCCTTTGAGCCTCTCCAATCAGAATCACTCAAATTTTTGACGTGGGTGCCGGTCAGAGCTAGGCGCACTGTCCTTTGCGGACAGTTGTGCCGCTTTTATGGACGATCAAGTTGTACTAAAGACACAAATCGGGTTTCTTGCCAAGAACCAAATCCCAGGACACGATCCTCAACCGATCGTCATCCCCAGCTGGCAAATATTGTCGATCCGGAAGATCAGGAGGAATTGCTTCTCTGCCCGGTCCGAGCGCTGAGTTGCTATGTGAACCGTACCAGGTTTTCCAGACAGGCAACCAAACACATGTTTTTGTGTTACGGCCCTGGCAAACAGGATAAGCCGGCTTCCTCGACTTCCATCTCCAGGTGGATTACTGCGACTGTACTGGAGGTCTATAATACACTATCCTCCTCAACACAGACTTTGCAGAAACACCAAGTACGAGAACATGAAGTCTGTGCGATTGCTAACTCACTAGCGCTAACGTTAGGTGCCCCCCCTCAAACACATTCTGAGG